CTGATTTACAATTACTGCATAAATAGACAACGTTTAAAATTTGTTAAATGGAAAACAACAATTTTCAAGGTTAGTTTATGCAGTTATTTTTACAATCATTTTTCTTTGCCTAAATTATACATCTAATCCTCAAGTGTCGAACAGAACAACATCTCTTTGGAGAAGAAGTAACTAAATAAGGGGAACAACAATAAGCTTTTTTTCAAAGCTTCCCGTATTCAGAATTTTGCACAGCTAACTTGCCAGGAAAAATGCTTAGAAGCAAACACGAAAGACCAGGTTTTTTACTGATTATAGCTAATTAAGAAATACTGCTGATGAACTATTTTTCTTTTTCTTTTTGGCAAAAAATGGAAATTCATTAAGATAGTTGAATAAAAATCGATTAATTTTTGTTCCTTTACTCCTACAAATCATAAGGTTGTTTCTGTCGTAAATTGTTTATCATTATCAAAGTCTTGACCTTTTATCAAATTTTAAAATAAAGGTTAACATATCTTTCGTTCTGCATTGCAAAAAAAAAAAAAAAAAAATTAAGGCTCAAAAAACAGCTTCGTCATCTGTGCAAAAAAATAATAAATTTTTCAGAAAAATTTGACATTGTCAAGTAAGACCTGGAAATACCAGAAATATTCCAAACTCCGATGGCTATCAGTAGTAATCTTGGTCGTAGTAGTAGTATTCGTAAATACAAATTCTATTTCAAATGTTCTAGGACGACACTATACTTCTTTATACATTATTCCTTATTAATCTTGCGGCTTCTACAACTTGTCAGAATTTTTCAAGGTTTTCTTTGGTCTAATTTTTTCTTTTGTTTTTTTTTTTCGTGCTTTACAAATTGTTTATAGCACATTTACTCTGTGAAAATTAACTATGTTTCTGACGTGATAATCTTATAAATAAGTACTACTGATACAGAAATTAATTAGCTTTAAATATCGAGAATAGCAAGAACCTAGACACTTACAAAATGTCAGACTTCTTCCTGCTTATGAATCATAATAAAAGCAACAAAATCAAACCAGTATCTTTTTTCATGGCAGAAAGTTATTTCTTTTTCAAGCAAAATTTTTATAGCTGTTTTTTTTTTCTAGTTAACTTTTGCTAGAGAACTCTTTTGACAGGTAATTTTTTTATTTAGTATACCATAAAGTAGACCAAGTGAAACAGCAACAGTATATCTTTGAATTTTACAAGAAAGGTGTAATGGAATAGTCTAGTTAAACTATTCCAATTAATAATTTGATAAATTTCCGGTATTCGTAGCAACACCTTCTTGCCTGTTACGATGTTGACATGTTTATTACCAATTCCATTATTCCCTTTCACTAATTATGACAAAGTTTTAGCAGTCATTCTGCAAAATTATTGTCGATTCGTTCAACCAAACAAATATAAATCAGAGCAAAATTTTATTTTCTGACTGTTAGAATAATTTATAAAAAAAACTTGATTTATAATTTTCAGCAACTTTGGCAACAATTTACAACTATATTTTAAAAACGATTTTTAATTTTTACCTATTAGTTCGCACTTCTTAAATTTTATTTTTATTTTTTATTTTAACAAGATTAGATCCTGTAAATGAGTACAGACACCAAATTCTTATCACATTTAGCTGCTTCCTAAAACATGGTTTTATCCAAAAAAAATTTTTTTCTGGGAGGATTAATAAACGGAAAATTATTAGGGTCTTAAGTGCTGTCTTATTTAAGCTTAAGCTGAACAGCTGTTCTAAATTTGTATCATTTTTTTTTTTTTTTTGACTTCAAAAGCGTAGGCTGTTTTTTGATTGTCTAAAGCAGAAGAACTATTTATCTGTATAATTTCATATAAATAAATGCAAAAGTTGTTTTGATCTAGCAATTATTTAAGCCTTTAAGAACAAGAATCATAGCAGATAACGTTCTACAGCAGTACAGCTATCCGATGTTGAAGTATTTCTAGTCATTTTCTTGAATGCTTAATTAAAACTTAAATTATCAAAGATCTATTCAACACAAATGATAAAAAATTTTAAAGAGACATTTTATTAAACGACGCTCAACAACTTTGGACAAAATTTCAAAGTTTGTTTTTTATCGAAAAACAACTAAGAAGACCCACAAATATGTTAAATCACAGTTTTCAACTATTAGGGTTTCCTATATCAGTATTTGAAAAAAAAAAAAAAAATTGGCATACCACACGCAGTTTTAAAGCTTATTTTTTATTCACTCTTCTCATCACACTTTTCTTTTATTTTTACTCTCAAAATTGTTTTTAAAATTTTTTAATTTAGGGTATGAAGATATAATTTTTGGCAACTTTTCTTTATTTACGACAAAAAAAAGAAGTAGTCCTACTGCAGCCAGTTGTGAAATTGATGCACTGCTCAAGAGGTTTTTTGTAAAAGAAAAATTTATTGGTAAACCATTCTACATCAATGTTCAAAAGATTAATTGTTAAGCATAATTTTAAATAGGTATTTTATAGTAAAGCTTTAAAAAATAAAGATTTTTTCTAAAATTTAAGAAACAGCGGTGTGTAACAGAGGAGAGAAAATGTTAACACTACAAGCACTTTGAGGTTTTTTTGTGAGTTACAGTTGATAAGGTTTGCTCAAGATTAAACAAATCTAATTTGTTTTTCAACGAAATATTTACTGATGTTGAAATTTGAGAGATATGTAATAAACAAAGAAGAAAAGATTGAACACTGAGTAAATGCTAATTACCTCTTGATAGGGCTGCAAAGCAATGATTTCATTAACCTAAAATGACGACCACAATTTGTTCAGTAAATTACATTTACTTTTTAAAAGATGGTGAACTATTAATGCAGATTTATACTGTTTATTGTTGGAAAATGTAGGTGAAATTTTAAAAAAAAAATCCACCTAAGATTTGTAGCGAGAGAAGAAGTAATGCTGATGTATGACAACGATAAACAGTGAAAAGCTAGAATACAAAGTTCTACTATGTTTAGCCTCTCCTTCACGTTTCTTTTTTACCTATCATCACCTTTTGAGAAACTTAAGGCTTTCAAGCTGTAAATGGAATTTGCTTGAAATTGGGAATATTTAAAAACTTTCTACGGCAAAGTCTTTGAATTAAACAGTTTTTAAACTGTGTTGAGATTATGTTCCAATTCTTGAAACTGTCATCCTGACAAGTAATCTTTAAACTGTCATCCTAACAAGTAAAATGAAAGAGAAATTGTGGCTTTTCAAAGCAGATAGAAATATCTAACAGATTTTTTTAGCATAGACACAAAATACTACATTTTGTTTTTAAAATTACAGTGTAGGTTTAATAATCAGACAGAAGGTTATCTGCTGAAAATCCCTGTTTAAACCCTTCATTATGATAGTTGTCTAATACCTCTTTCGCAAAAAAAGCTGTTTATAACTATTTTTTTCTGCTTTTTTTTTTCTTATTTACTCATAGATATGCTTCTCTAAAAATTTCCCATCTAAACACTACCACTAAATTAAAATGCTACTTTTCTTTTTACCAAATTTTTTGTCATTACGGTTAAGATGCTGATAAGACGACTGTCGAAAGAAGCCTACCATTAAGAAGGCACAAAAACGATATTGGGTAGGCCCACTGGAATAAGCCATAGATAACCAGCCAGAATAAAACAACACCAAAGCCAACTGCTGCTGCTCTCCAGTCGTTCCAAATTGGGATAATCACTAATGCAGCGGAAATCAGCACCAGAAGTACAGGTAAAATCAAAGGAAACTAAAAATAAGAAATAAAATTTACAGGTTATGTATATCATTTAGGTTTTAATAAATAAACAACAGCCATTATAACATTCTCTAAATGACTGCTTATTCAGTTCAGTTTTGTTTTTAAAAGTTAAAGAACATATATTTATATACTGCTATAAAATTTTGAGATGAGCAAACCTTAATGGCATTTGGATTAACAGGAATATTTTTATACCGAATCCAAAGCAAAGCTGAAACAGCAAAAACCTGTTGAAGCATACCGCACACAATCATGTAATTTATCAGATCCCCAATCGAGCCAATAAAGGAAAAAGCTATGGCACAAACTGCCTAAACAATTTCTTTTTTTCTCAGCTTTTAAGCTAGAAAATAATAATTTTAAAAAGCTTTTAAAACATTAAAAAATTATTTCACTGATAAAACTTTGAAAGCAGTTGCTAAATACTTGCATTTAAAGATAGCAGACGGTCAACGCTGTTAGATCGCAATTTAATTTAAAAGTTTTTTTTTCTGTAAAATAACCTAGAAATCGAAAACAGTTATTACAGTTTGATAAACTAAGGTTTAATTCCATTGTGGTTTATAATAGAGAATATCAAAAACGAACATGAAACATAACAGCTACTCTTGGACTATCATGCTCTTCATTTATTAGGGCCAAACAGGATGGCATTTTTCTTTTTCGAGCACCAGAAAACATATACCTAAAAGTGTCTTGCCATTTTTTAGTTTTTATGTTGACTTCAGTTTTCTGCCGTGAAACAGTTTTTTTCCTACCTGCTAAACATAAATATATCTGAGTTGATTGTACCCATCATTAAAATTGCTACAATTGCCGGCATAGCATAATAAAATTTGCCCAACGTCTTTTTGCTGAAAGTCTGAGAAGAACAGGATAAATTGTGATGTAACAATAAAATTGAATTGATAAGAAACAAAAAACGAGATCAACTTAGCTAGATCATTTTAAACAGTTCAGTTATACAACGAATAATTGTCATGTATTTTACGGGTAGACTAACCGTTGCAACAGCAGATGAGTCAAGCATCTGCTGAGGTGTTAAGATAGCGAAATAAGCTATATTGGTCAACAAATAAATAATTATACAAATAAGCAGTCCTCCGACAACAGCAATCGGAAGTGTTCTAAAATGTTGGTTTTTTTTCAACAATAGATCAACCAGGAGAATGCGTAAACCTTTCACAAAACAGTTAAAGGTTATTACAATTTTTACCAGTCTTTTAAATTAGTAATTTAGACACAAGTATAAATTCAGAAAAAATAACTGCAATATTTTAGAGATCATTTCAACTTCAGAATAAAAAAAAATTAAAATTTATTGAGCAATCTGTTGCCCTAATAAATTATTTATTTGTCTCATTTTCGTAAGAAAATTTATTGCTGCATGAGATTTCAAAAATGCATCATCCTCATCCAATCATTCTTTTTTGTTTTTTTTTTTCGGTATAAAGCTTAAATTTTTAAAATATTTTAGAGTACACCAATTATTCGCTCCCACTTCGCTACTACAAAAACTATTTGTACTATATTGTAAGAAATTGTGGAAATAAAGGTACAACATAAGCGTCTTTCACAGACTCAATTAAACCTTTTAAAATTTTTGATATCTTCAGCTCCATAGTTTAACACATCGTAACCACTGTATGCCCAAACACCTCCATATGCCGCCAGAACAATACTGGAAGCTTTCAGATTTGAATCAGCAAACAGTTTACCATTCGTAAAGTTATTTGTAGAGCCTAAAAAAGTAATAAAAATGAAAAAAATTTTGTAAATAACAGGAAATATTTTTGTTTTATAATTTTTAATTATCAAAACAAAGCTATAATTTTATTATTATGTAACCATATTTTGTCATTATTCAGGTATAGCAGACAACAGTACAAGTTGTTTTTGAAAGATAAAACAGTTGTTGTCATCAGTATTTGAAAAACGAACCTTTAAAAATAATAAAATAAAATCCGGTCACAATAATAATAGAAACAGACAAAAGTTTTGCAGCAGCAACAATTATTTGTACCCTTGATGCATATTTTTTCAAGGAAAATAAATTTGTCCATGATAATAGCACTATAAATATTGACAAAATTAGGTGGTAAAAAAATGAAACAAAGAAAAATATTAGTACTGAAAAAAAAATTATGAAAAATTTTTACGAAGTAATGTAAAACCAGCGAGTTTAGTTGCATAGTTTTTTCGTTGACTGCTAAGACAGTAGACGGGTTCAACTGCTTCAATAACATAGCTGCCAAATGTGGTTATCAGAATTGCACAACTACAGGAACTGAAAGCCAATATTGGTGAAAAATACAAAAGAAGGGTGAGCATCTTAATAGTTTTTATTTATTTCTGCAAAGTTTTGATGTTTCAATTCACCATCGTGTTAAAAGTGTTCAAATTATTAGTGTAAAATTGAAAAAAGAATGTCACATTTTATACTGTACATCTTAGAAACTTCGATTAATAGCCAAAACCAATTTTTCAAGATAATAATACAGTATATTATTCGCCTAAATTACTTCAGATAATCAACTTAAAAAATCTACAAAAAGTATTCCACATTGTCTAACTATAAGTCTGCTAAGATTATATAGATTAAAATTTGCTTTTTAGTTTCCCGATGTGCCAACAAAGACATAACAGTGGAAATTCGCAACAACAACAGCAATGCTTAAGCTGGTATGAAAACTTGACCGAACAACTTTTTGCCGTTGAATACGACCTTCTACTATCAGAATCTAGAATAGCTAAGATTTCTTATTTAAATAGGTAGAATATGTGCTTCTAAAATTTGTGTAACTTTCTACAAACATTTGATTAGCGGCTGAAAAAAATGCAAAAAAAAAGTCTTAGTCTGCTGTTTTTTTCCACTATTTATTAGAGCAAGAAAGCTTTTATCACCTGTAAAAAATAAGACTTAATTTAGGTTGTCACTAAGACACTTTTCTTCTCGATATTTCAAAAGTTTTTAGCATTCCTAATCAGTGTCATTACGGCTTTATGCTGTTGTTGTTGAATTGTTTGTACTTTTAAATGTATATTTTTCAACCTTATTTGGGTATTAGTCATATCAAAGACAGTAAAGCATCAGTACAAAATGCTACAGCTTTTCTATGAAGACCGAAAAAAACAATGGTACGTAGTAATCAGGGGAAATAATAGACCCAAAACAAATTGTAAGAAGGATGACAGAAGAAAGTAAACAAAGAATTAAGCCACAACAAATTTCTTCTTTCTAATGACAAAAAACTCATCTTTTTTTGCATGGCAAACAAAAATGATTCAACGATGAGGTTATGCAAACTTTTGGGACATCATTAACACTCACACATTTACAACTGATACCGAACAGTATAACTAACAGCGATGAAGTATTTTTAAACGATATATAATAATGATAGAAACATCAAAATGGTGTTCTATAAAACAAAAGATTAATTACAGTTTCAGATGTACACATTTTTGTATAGTAATGTTTTAGTTTAAGTCCTTCGTAACCGCTTCTAAACACTGTTTTAGATGACAGAAAAAGGATACTACTGGTATTTTAAGTGTACAGTGAAAAAAGGTGTTACGTATACTGTGAATTATGTGAATTATATTTAGAAAAAAAAGTTTCTTTTCGTGGCTTAAAAAAAGCAATTTATAGTAAAACATTTTTGCAACAACTGCTAATCGTTAATAAATTATTACCTTAAAATAAGAGCTTTTTTTTTTTACTTATTAATTAGTCATTTATCTTATAGTTAGTATTAATGTTCAGCTGGATCTCAACCTTCATAAGTAAACTTAGTTTTTTTCTGAATAATCAATTAGTCGTTTTTTTTATTATTATTTTTCTGTTAATCTTCAATGGATTAATGACTTATAGGTTAGATGTTGATAAGGAATTATTAAAATAGTGATGTGTGATAAAAAATAATGTTTTATCTTTATTTTTTACAATTTTTTTTGAAGTTTATTGCCACTACAGATATTTTGTTGCTTACAGATAATTTAATACAGTTTTATATGCATTTATTATATGAAAAAATTTACTAAGAATACGTAATAAATAAATAAACGTTTTTTATTTCTGGCCAAATATTTTTGTAGCTGTAACAAGCGATACTTTAATCAAGTATTTTGTCTTTCTTTTTTTTATAACTTAAGCTTTAAACTTAGGTAGACCTAACTTTATGATTTTGTCATACTATAGACTACAAACGTTCGCCTACACTATCAGCTGTTTTTTTTTTTTTTTTTT